CACATCAGTGCAAAATGTCTACTGCCCAGTTCCAATTCTACCCTCTAGTCCAGGGCTTTTCAACCAGTGGTACGGGTACCACCTGTGGTACATTGGCATCTTGCAGGTGGTACGCGACCATCCTAGAAAAGTGGTCGTGGGGTAGGGGAATGAGCTGAACCGGTGGCAGCACCGCACAAGCCTGAGCGAGAGATGGCTGGAGCTGCAGGGCTGTCAGGGCTCAGCGGAAGTGCCAAGATCAGTGCCACTTTCTAGCTGATCGGCGCTTCTTCGGGACTGTCAGGGCTCAGTGGAAGCACCAGGATCAGCGCCAGGCTCCAGCTGGAGTTCGGCGCTGATCCTGGTGCTTCTGCTGAGCCCTGAAGAAGCACCAATCAGCTAGAAAGCAACACTGATCCTGGTGCTTCTGCTGAGCCCAAAAGAAGCGCCGATCAGCTGGAATGTTGCAGCATCTCCAGGGTCTTGTGATTTATATTCAGATGCTTGGCAACTGATTCATATTTATGACTGTCACAGTGTCCCAGGGTCATGTGAAGTGACACAAACCTGCTGCAACCACCCAGCAGATGGGGGGAATAAAAACCAAACACCCTCCCACCCCACCCCCGCTGCCAACAGAAATGCTCACAACAATGAAAACCTCGGACAGGAGGAAGAGCGCCGCCGGGTGGGCAGGCAGGTGTCTTGCTCGGCTGTGGCTTGGGGGGCACTTTTTTCAGTGCCATTGTAACTTCGAACAGTCACTAAGCGAACTATTATAAGTCGAGGACTACCTATACTTTATCACTTTTTTCCTTTTTTCTTTGGTCATCAAGTTTTTGACACCTTGTTAGGCGACTGGTGGTACTCGGATATTGCCATATCCTAAAAGTGGTACAATGGGTGAAAAGGTTGAAAAGCCCTGCTCTAGTCCAGATAATAAACTCTTGCTAAATTTGTTTTGAAGATAACATAAGCAGATGTGGGATATGGATAAATTCTATAAGTTTTTTTCCTAAAAGCAAATAATCGACTAGCATCTGACCCTTCCTTGAAAAATTAATGCCATTGCAGAATATATTAATAGAACTTGGAGAAGGGGAAAAACACTGGATTGGGAAAAATTCAATTGTTATAAGGGACTATCAATAGATGGAGAATCTTTGAGAATAATTCTTTCTTTGAAACAAAAGGTATGTTCCCTTTTATAAAATGTATTATTTTAAAAAAGTTTAAAATAGCACCTAAGAACATTTACATATTTCATTTCTTTTGTGAAGGAAATGCATCTTAAATCCCTTATAGGAATCTGATATTTTGTCATCACCTTGCTTGCATACTGAAGTAGTGATCACTTCCTACAGATACTATTATAGATGAGAGAGGCAATCCTATTGACAACATACGAGTTTAGGAATAAAAGACATTGGTCAATGCTTATCTTTACTACTTTTCCATTTTAACTTTTGAAACCTTGAAGACCCCTTTGAGATGGAAAAAAGAAAATCTGAAGAGAGAACAAATTCTATGACTAAATGAATTGAAGATCAATATTTCCAGAAGGAAAGGGAAGGAGTGTACAAAGTTGATTTGTTTGACTAAGGTTAAAGTTAGCTGTTTTATAAAACTCTGGGATTTCTTATGGACTTTTTGCTGACAGTAGGACTGAAATATTAACAATATATGAATTTGCACATGAATAAAGGATGGGTTATGAGAAGAAGAGATACTTGCATGTAACCTTATAGGGGATGAAGAATTATTAAGCTTGTTTGTATCTATTGTAATGAAGATCAGAAATAAGAATTGTTTCTTTTCTTTTTAATTTTTTTCCTCTTTCTCTTTTTCTTTTTGCACTTTCTATTCTTTAGTTTTTTCTTTTTGAATTTACTTTGTACTGTATTTTATCTTTTTTAAATAGATCAATAAAGTTATTATAAAAACATTGCAATAAAATGACAGACTCTTCTGAAAGACTCAAGGCAACTGCTTTGAAAACTTTCACTGGTTCTCTATGCCTTTGTACGGTATTTATCCACAGCTTTGCAGATGTTTCCAGCAGAAGTGTTGCTTGTGAACAGCTAACAGGTGACTCAAATGAGAGGCATGTGCCATTATGGCAGACATAGGACATCTCCAGAAGACATAGCTGGCATTCTTGCTATGTAAATGCACTCCAGGTAAACCCAAACTGCAGACTTAAGTAGTAACATTATTCTTTCTGGCCTTTTGATTAAATCAATAATTATTATATATTAGGGTTACATCCCAACCTTTATTTTTACAACTTGAGACAGCATACATAATGGTCCATTCTCTTATTTTCCCCACAACAACAATCTGTGAGGTGGGTTGACCTAAGAGAGAATGATTGGCTCAAAATCATCCAGCTAGCTTCCATGACTAAGGAAAGATTAGAATCATGGTCTCCCAGTTTTTAGTTCAGCACCTGAGCCACTACATGAAAGAAGCTCAGTTGTTTGGCTATCTTAATAAATATTATTTAATAAATAGATAAAGAAGATGTTTTGTTTGGAATACTTATTTCCACAAAACAGTGAGCAAGAGTTAAAATAACAGATATGGAATTCTCTTGTAGCAATAAAATAGGCAAAATCACTATCCTGTAGGCTTTCTGCTAGGTAGGCCTTCTATAGTTTTTGATGCAATACCATAAACTTTTCCTGGTTTAGAATTGAAAACTGTTAAGTAGCACTAAATAATTTAATACTGGTCTATAAACCTCACAAGGTTTATTTGTTATGCAAGTAACATGTTTAATGCAATGTCTAGAGCATGGGTGTCAAACTCGCGATGTCACGTGACGTGTCATGACATATCATGATTTTTTTTCCCATTGCGGGCAATGGGGTGGGCGCGGTTTTGGCGTGATGCATCCGCCCCGTGGGCCGGCAGTTTGACACCCCTAGTCTTTATTTCAATTGTCACTGCAGGATGATCTTTCTCCATGATAATTACCTAGGATAATTACATATTTAACTATCTATCATAGGGAGCCAGAACAATTTCCATAGATTTATTAATTTTTTTACCTGCTATATTTGTTAACAGCTCAATCTTATGAATCTGCACAATATACAATTATAACAACAGTTTTAAAACTGTTGTAAAAACAGAATATTATAATACAATAATATTCAATTAAAGATTAAACAAAAATATACATGCTTGAAGGAAGACTCATGGACTAATTATATGGAGCAGAAAGTTAATTGTAATACCTGCTTAAATGCAAGAAAGGTAACTTGTGATACTTTCTGACATTTGAACCATGCCTGGAAATAATCTAGTTATTAGTGCATCAATGTGTGTGTAGCCATGCAAAACAGAACCCTTCGAAGGACCACACTCCATCCTACTAATCTGGTTACCCTACCCAAGGACAACCCTAAAGTGTTGGGATTCTTATGATTAATGGCACAAGATATACTAATACTTAAACTGGACAACCCATGATCTTATCAGACTTTTTAGAATAATAAGGGCTATTCTCCACTGAATATGTGTTCTGTTCTGTAATAACCAATATAATATTATTTAATTTTAATATTATACAACCTTCATCTTTATTTTAAAAAACTGGAGACTGAACTTAGAATGGCTACCTGTTTAAGAAAAAAAGAGATGGCATTATGGTAGGTGCTTCTCCAAATTTTGTGCTAGATTACAACTCCAATAGTTGACTCTTTCCGATGTTAAGAGTTGGAGTCCAAAATCTACAAAATCAGAGTACTTATCCCCGCTTCAAAATACCACATAAGTAGGACATAAACACTTGGCTGTATTCCCACTTATAGATGGGGAGAAAAACTGCTCCTGTTGATTTTCGGCTTGTCATGCAATTGTTGAAAACTGAGACTGTCTGTCCTTATAAAAGCATTCAACCTCCCATAACTTGTGGATATTTCAACTTCAGTTCCGGTCATGCTGGCTAGGAATCAAAGAAATTGAAAGCCCATATATCGGGAGTGCACCAGGGCGCCGAAAACCTCCTGGCTCATGTATTAAGATCGACAGGATGCCAATTTGGCACGTTTAAAGAAACAGATCGATCACTCGATATACCCATAGAACATAAAATCATAGGGCTGGACCCCCCTGCTCAAGCAGGAGATTAATACATCCTGGTCAAATGGTTGTCCATTTGTCGAATCTAGTTTGGTTTAGTTTCTAGGTTGGACTAGAAAGACCTCCAAGGTCCCTTCCAACTGTTATTCTGATATAACCAGTCAGATCTAGCTTAGCATCTACCAGGGCAGTGGTGGCGAACCCATGGCACGGGTGCCAGAGGCGGCACTCAGAGCCCTCTCTGTGGGCACGTGCGCCGTCATCCCAGTCCTAGGCCTTCAGTTCGGTTTTATAAAACCTTTTCGCTTTAGGCCTCCGCCGCCGTGTACAAAAAAAAAAAAGGTTCAATTAATCAGTCAATTTCAACTTCTGGCGGGGAAAAAAAAGATCTTGCAAAGTTGGAATTGATTGATTGAACTTTTTAGTCCCACCCAGTCTGCTGTTACCACCACAGCCATGCCACCCAATGGGCCACACCCAGCCAATGGGCCACACCCACCCGGCACCGGACGATGCATAAGTGGGTTTGGGTTGCAGTTTGGGCACTCAGTCTCTAAAAGGTTCGCCATCACTGTACCAGGGGTTCTCAACCTTGGCAACTTTAAGACTTGTGGACTTCAATTCCCAGAATTCCTCAGCCAGCAAAGCTGGCTGAGGAATTCTGGGAGTTGAAGTCCACAAGTCTTAAAGTTGCCAAGGTTGAGAACCCCTGATTCTCTAGTCGGATCTAGTTTAGCATCCAGGAAATCTGAAGGAGTTTAGGGAAAGCTTCTCATGGAAGATTCAGGACCGATTAGCCGCGGAGGTATTTCCTGAAATTCCTCCCGCGACTAGTCCAACTTACGTCTAATTCCACAACCAGCGGCTCCATCGCCAACTCCCCCCCGCCTTCCCTTGCAAGTACGGCAAGAGGCGAGGGACTTCCGCGTTAAGACAGGGACGCGAGCTGCGGCTGACAACTACCGGCATTTCAACCGGAGACGCGAAGGCCGTCATCCCAGGCGGCCGGACTCCGCCTCTCGCAATGCTGCGGTGGCTGATAGGAGGGGGGCGCGAGCCGCAAGGCTTGGCCGAGGTAAAAGCCGGCGATGGGTGGTGAGGGACGTTGGTAAGGAGAGGTGCGAAACCCTTCGCTTTCCCTGTCCTGGCAAAGGGAGGAGGCGTATTTTGTTTATTTCATTTACGTCTGGTGGACGCAGTGCTTGTATCTGTCTTGAGCAAAGCCGAGGGCTTTTTTCCCCTTATGCATAGAGCAGTTACACACCCTTGAGCCTTGGCAAATGGTAGTTTTTCCCCCCAAGCCTTCCAAAGATGCGTCCCTTTCCAATTCCCAAGAGTTTCCCACCCTGCTGGGAATTAGGGATGCCGGGTTTTGTTTTTTTTTAGAGATCTCCATGTTGCGAAAGACCGACCCCTTGGTAATTACGGAAGAACCGTTATCACTACAGCTGGTTTGCTCAAAGTAGAAGAATCGCCTCTAATTTTAATTTTTCACACCGAGTTCCTGCTCCTTTTGGGCGTTTGTCTTAGTGAATATGAAACTGAACTGCGCAGCTACTCTTTCTTCCTCTTTTTAAAAAAAGGAATAAATAAAGGAAACGGAGGTAAAAGATCGAGGAAACATGGAGAGAAATGGTTGAAAGTGAAGGAGAATTGAGAAGAAACATGGATTGAATATGGGAAATGGATGAGATTCAGCTTCATAGACTAAATCAGTGTTTCTCAACCTTGACAATTTTAAGGCATGTGGACTTCAACTCCCAAAATTCCACAGCCAGCAATGCTGGCTGTGGAATTCTGGGAGTTGAAGTCCAGATGCCTTAAAATTGTCAAGGTTGAGAAACACTGGACTAAATGAACCCCCCCTTTTCAATCGAAACGATATGAGTTTAACAGCCACCAGAAGACTAGTTTTCTGGTCTTAGTTCAGGACTTGGTTTACTAGTTTTCCTGTCACTTAGATACAAACGTTTTGTCAATTTCATCCTGGCTCCCAAATTGTCTAATTAGTAGAGTGCTGGCAGTGATTGGCTACAATCTGCATGATCTGGAGGTATATAAAATGGGCTTAGAACATGTAGAATGATATCACCTCTCAAGAATAGGAGATTCATGCAAAACTCACCTGTGACATAAATAGCAGAAATTTTTAAATGATTCATTTGAGAATGAACCAGCAAGCTCTCTCTCCCAGGTTAAATGTATTTCCCCCCTTTTGTTACAGACAGCAATGTATATAGGCTGTTAAACAGATCAGTAGGTAGAGGGCAAGTGAGGAAGAAGTGGGTGGGAGGTCACATACAGTCTTCCTACTTTATTGTGCCTACTTTCTTTGCCAACTATCAGCTGGACTAATTTTGGATATACAGGTAGTCCTTGACATACAACTGGTCGTTTAACGATCATGACCATTCAAAATTGCAATAGGCTCAGAAAGGGTGCTTTCTGGTCTGTTCATCAGTTCAGCTATTTGCACTACTCAAATACCATGTTATAACTTAAAGGAAAATTGGTACAAAATGTATTTATTTAAAATTATTGGCTGCCTACTTCCAGTCGACTCTGGGTGTCATACAAAACTAGCAAAAAAAGAAAGAAAAGCTAAAAGTGTAAAATCATAGAGACAGCCCAGACTGAAATAATCTGATAAACAAATGAAGACAAGCAGTGTCTCAGATACCAGCCCCTATGCCATAGATGTTTTAAAATGCTGTATAGATGGTATACAACTCTATCAATAATATCTGAAATAAATCAGACTGTAATAAATGTTGGAAATGTCACGAAACAGAAAGAAAATTTTACCACATGTGGTGACATGTAAAAGAACTCAAAAGTACTGGAAAGACATTCATAATATAATGAAATGAAATCACAATTTTTCCTAGTAGTAAATCTCAGAAAAAAATCAAGAAAGATAATTTAATGAGATACATGATTATAGCAGCAAAAATAAACTAGACTCAATATTGGAAGGAAAAATACAATCCTAACAATATCTGACTGGGAACTTAAATATGCAGCTATGCTGAAACTTAACAAGATACTTACATAATAGAAGTTTAACTAAATTTAACAAGAATATATATACAATATATTACTCAGCATGGTAAATACATTTGCTTATGGTCTGGCTTTTAAGGGGGCCTGAATATACAAATATTGTATATTAAATAATTCAGTAGTTAGGATCAAAAGGAATAGAAAATGGGCATAATCTATTGATTGAAAAATATTAAGACTAAATTGTGTGATCCTCAGTTTTATTTTTCTAGAAATCTATACAGACTATTGGTGAAGAACAAGCTCAGAATCCATATACTGAGCTTCTTGTGCTGAAAAGTCACCATGATATAGTGCGTTTTCTAGTGGCAATTGATGATTACCGGTGAGACATTACTTCTATATTCCTCATTTCACTGTAAAGATGATTTCAATTTTTTTTTAAAAAAATGAATGTTAATATTTTGCTTTCCCAAATTGAAACCTATATGATGGACAGCTTAGTTCTTATATATAAATTGATACAAGAAATCCCTTAATTAATCCCAATTAAAAAACATCTGTCAAAGATTTTGACAGAGCAAGTTATATGATTTTAATTGCCATTAGCTTTCCCCACTTTACTGAAAACAGATGTCTTAGAATGCATTATTTCACAATAACTATATACATTTTATATGTTGTTTTCTTATCAGCAAACATTGGAAAGAAAGCATTTTACACAAAACAAAAGATACTATGATTTGGGGGAATCACAGATCAGATAGAATAAACTGTACAAATTATATCAATTATATCTCTCAGACATATGACACTTTATTCCATATTTTTGAAGAGCAGGTTCTGCTAATTTGTAAGAATATTAAGCCCATGGATTCAAGTTTATTTAATTGAATAGCTAAATTTACCCAGTGAATTGTAGTAGAAAGTTTTAAAGCAAATTTGACATACTAAACTAAAATCCCTTTTTTGGATAATATTTATTTAAAGAGGAATAATTTATACACAAGAATATTACGTCTTCCTTTAATTATAATACAATTTTATTTTCATTGTTCCTTATTCAATCATTAGAAGATTTTTTAACTAAAACATTATCTTATTAATTCCTTCCAAAAACATTAGCATTGTTACTTGGTTTCTGAAACAATTTTGTTTAGTTTTCATAGTTCTTTGATTGCATTTTTGTCAACTGTTGTAAGCCAGGTTTCATGCTTCAGTTCTCTAGATAATTTCATCTTATTGAGAATTTTACAGAGGGATTTTCTTGTTTTCTCTGTGGCTCAGCTAAAACCAGTGAGTGGAAAATTTTCTCAGATTGGTTTCTGAAGATACTAAATAAATCCTGTATCAACCTAACAGGCAGCTGCTTTTCACTTCTTTTCTTTTTATGTTTTTGAACATGAAGAGAAGGTCATATTGATTGCAAGATCACTAAAGAAGGCTAAGCCTTAGCAAGCATCTTTCAAAAAATGGAATGAAATAAAATTGCAAGTAATACTCTAGCATTTGACATATTAAACTGGACTGAATTCGTAACACACTTTAAAAATTGCTTGTTTGACCATTTGGTGCTCCTCCAGGAAATAGACAAGATTATAGAGGATGGTGATCATGACTGGAAAAGAATCAGATGACCCATGAAACACCAACTTGGTGAAAAGAAATCCATTTGCAATATCAGATTGATCTGACAGGAGAGTGTCACATGAAAACCCGAGTTTCATATTTTAATTATTTTTTTTAAAAAAAATCTAAAGCATTGTACTTATTGAGATGTTTAGTCTTTCTAGAAGATTTTAAAAAGTATATTTGTGCTACATAATGTGATAGTAGTAATTCAGTATATAGTTTTAAAATTAAATTCAGCTTTAAAGGGTTAGTATTTCTTATCTGGATTCAGCCATTATTTTTTTAAATAATGAATACCAAAAGTGTTTTAGGTGACTATTCTGACCCTGTGATAATAAATGAATACAAAGATGCTAGAAATGGAAGCCTGATTATATAAAAATGTAATACACATTTTTATTCAATAATAAAAACATGATCTTGTTTTGAAGATTTAAGTATACTTTCTAAGGTTCAGTTAATGTTTCATCTCTTTTTGTATATATCTGTCAATGGTCTATTTAAAGAATGATTATCAATAAACATTTTATTGCTTTTTTATAATGTATCGGTAATTACAGATCTCTTCAATATGGTTTTTTTTCATTACTAGTTTTGCATCTGCTGGTGATGATGGAATTGTATGTCTCTGGAATGTCCAGGTTTGTTTAGAAAATTAAAAAAAATGTTTATAAAAATACCTATAGATGCAGACTGAGTAATGTTTAAATTCATGACCTGCTGGAATATAAAATTAGCTATTATTTATAATTTGTATTCCAAAGATTTCTAACAGAAGCATTATTGCAGAAGCAGAAATATAAATCTAAAAATGCATTCTGTAGGTCATAATAAAGAACCCTGGGTTTGTGAATGTAATTTACAATTGAAAAGGTGAAGATGAGACAGGCATTTAGATTATCAATATCAATATCTTTGTATATCTGCAGTGTTTGAATATTTATGCAGAAATGGTTTAATTACATGTTTTGTAATACTGTTAACAAATCAGTGGACTATTTTTTAATTTTATATGACCAGACACTTATGCAATACAGGTAGTCCTTGAGTTATGACAGCAGTAAGGATTGAGATAGCTCAGCTATGCGATCAAAAAGTGTGACATCATGTGACTGCATTGCTTAGCAATGACAATCCATGCAATCCCATTTGTTAATCCCAAGATCTTGGGATTGTTTACCAGGAACCAGAGAGAGTCCCAGGTACAGGCTGCTGGGGTACTGTGGGGGAGGGGTATTGGAGGAGATTGGGGAAGGCCCTGAAAGGTCTGGCACAGGTGCACACAAGTTGTGAGAGAGACTACAATGAGTCACTAATTGCTCATTGATAATCAGACCATAACTGTGTTTATTACTTTGTTTCAACTTTCCTTTCTCCCCCACTCTCCCACCATTTTGAACATTCATCCAGGTGCTGGGATAACTAGCAAGAAAGGAGTTATTGTTTGTATTTACATTCATTAGAGAGGAAGAGATTGCAAGAGAGTAAGTAGACACACAATAAGAAATACACATAGAAAGAAATGTGCTAGCACCAACTGTTTGCCTAGCTTGTGCATGGCTCTCTGCTCTGAATGCGCCAGGCAAACAGCTGCTGCTAACAGATATGTGTTCCTCACTGTGTGTCTGCTTACTCTTTGTCATTTCTTTCTCTCCAGTCTCTCTGTTCTGTGAGGGAGGGGAGATAAAAACAGTGGGTCAGGCACAGCAGAACTTGTCTAAAAATATTGCTTAAGGCTTAAGCCATCTCTCCACACTGCAAGGGGGGGGGAGAAATAAAAAAACCATCAGGCACAAGACAATGCATATTAACTGTAATGGCAAATTTGTGGCTGAGAGAGACATAGGCTGCAAAGGTCCTAATGTCTTGGCCTGGGTCACAAACTTACTTTTTCAGCATCATCATATTTTTCAGCACCTTGGAAGGGGTTGCTGCACCAAATCTACTGTACTAGTAGATGGCGGAGTAGATTGAAACAGATCCTTCAACTGTTCCCTTTATGGCTGATGTCAGTTTTTACCTTGCCTTGCTGTTTATTTTGGAAGGCTGTCTGGGCTGCCTATGAGTGGCTGTTGATCCTCGGATATAATAAATATTGAGTTTTCTTTCTACTTTTGTACACATAAGTGTGCTGCTAGCTATTTCAAAAATAGAAGCATTTTTAAAGTTGATACATGGCTTAATCTGGGTTGTATTGGGTAGAATGAAAAGCATTTGACCATAGAATCAAGCTTCTTTAGAATGTTGATTTTCTTGTTTTCTTTTTCTTTTTAAAAAGTATTTAAAGTCTAAAGTAGTAAAAATAAGTGTTGAATTCTGTCCAACTAAACTTAAGAAGTCAGAGCAAAAATTTTAGTTGACCTCTGGATTCTACGTATCTCTTCATTCTTTCCCATACCTAGCATAAATACAATAAATCATTTTAGTTAATATAAACACAGTAAATCAAATACAATAAATAATTATTTTTTAAAAAATTACCTATTTTGTATTACTAACAGAATTCAACTTTCTAGTATAAGAACTCTGATACATTTTTAGAAAAGGCACTAAAATTGTATTTTAGAAAAGGCAAAATGCACTTCATATTGGACATTGAAACATACATGGTGAAATATACAAATACTTTTCAGATTTTGATGCAAAAATAGTTACAAAGGACTTGGAAGTCATTCTGGGGTAGATTTTCATTCATTCATTCATTCACTTTGTATAGCTACTCATCTCACATTTATGAACCCATACAATATCTATGGTATTGCTGAAAAAAATCCTGCCTGAAATTTTGAGAGCTTCTACCACATAATGATGATTAATCTTCCTCAGCCTACTATTATCCAGACATATTTTCCATCACTTAATGTAATCTTTAGTTAGCAGGGTGAACAGATTTATAGGGTTTTCTGGCAAATAACAGCAACAGGTGTGGGAAGGTTAAGCTAGATGGACCAGTTATTTGCATTGTATAGTATTGGTTCTCATTTTAAAATGAATAATATTTGAGTATTCTGATTACTTGTATTGTTTCTTCATAACACATGTCTCTGTGTTCATTTAGCACTGTTATTATTGTTTTTGTTTCCAGACTGGAGAAAAGTTATTTGAGCTACATGCACATACACAAAAAATAACAGCTCTTGCAGCTTTTCCTTTGTCAGATACCTGTGAAGAAAAATGCCATATGATTTTGACAGCAAGTGCTGACAGAACTGTAGTTGTATCCTTTACTTCTTGACCAGAGAAATGCAGAATTGGTCTGTGTTGCATAATAAATGGTGCTTACGGCTCAGTGTTATTACATCAAAGTTTGGGATTTTAATGAGCAAACTGCTATAAAAGCAATAGACTTTCATCATTTCCACGACAAATTGATATGTGGCTAATGAGGAAATTGATAAGATGCAGTTGTGAAAACCTGGTTTACTCTGCACAGATCCTGTTGAGTTATAATTAATAATCTTCAGGTTGAACAATAAAACTCTCAGGAAAAGATTTTGCATATTTGCACACCAGGTGTTTTGTCTTCTCTTACAGTAAGGAAATAAGTTCTACAAATGTTTTCTTCCATCATTTGTGTGGCTCAAGGAAACACTTTTTCATAGGAAATAGTTGTGGGAAATAGAATCATATCTAACTGACTCCTCCATTTTATGCCTCAATTTTTTTTATTATAGTTATATAAGATATTTCAGCTGCTATTCTTAGTCCTTAATGATTGAAACCAGGTTTGGGATTGTGACAATGGCAGACAAATTCACAGGGTATCTTGTTTTCATTCCACCGTAAAGGTAAGTAAAACTGAATGTGATTTTGTGTATTTAATTTATTTAGATTGTAATTCTATGCTGTCAGTCTTAAAGCTGCAGTTGTATCAGCTACATATTTGTTACATACTATAGTAACCAGCTGCAGATAACAAATTTGCAGGTTTTGGTGTTTACCTGTGTCTAATTTTAGATACTTTGGGTTCCTTTTTAGATACCTTGAGAGATCAGTGAACCATATATTTTCAATCTTCTTAGTTAGAGCCATTGCACATTACAATAGGATGGATTCCATCAGTTTGTCCATTTACAAGAATATTAATCAGTACTATAAATAGCTTCATATATAATCTTGGAAGCTTATAGATCTCAACCAGTGTATTCTTGATTATTTCTCAAATTATATCTTTGAGATTATGGTGGAAGAGTCCTTTAAATGAACAAATACATGTTTCTATCATTTATTAGACAATTCTTCACTTAACAACCACAATTGAGACCAGAATCTTGATTGTTGAATGAAGTACGGTAGTCATTAACAAGATACTCACATGTCTGCTTTGTTTAACAACTACAATCCCAGCACTACCAGTTGCAGTCGTTAAGTGATCTCCTGGATCTTTTGTATGGGTAAAAAGAGTTGCCTGTCTTTCAGTCTTAGGCTTTCTTGTAGCCACCAAAGCATTTTAGCTTCCCTCTGTGTACCAAAGTGAGATCCTTCAGCAGGCTGCAGGTATGGAGGTGAATATCTTGAAGGATTTCAGCTTCCCTTTCTCTCCTTTGCTTGCAACCTTCCTGCTGTCTTCTTTATTGACTTTCTGGTAAAGGTGGCAGAAAAGATTGCAAATGACAATCGTGGGGCACTTGACAATCAGTTGTAAATGTGAGCCGGTTGCCTAATGCCAGAAATGTGGTCATGTGACCAAAGGTGTGTGCAATGTTTTATGTTAACCAGAAATGCTTTGCAGGCCACAAAGCAGTTTTTACAAGCTGACGTAACTTTGAATAGTTGTTAAACAACTGGTCATAAGTCGAAGACTGTCTGTGGTTCTAAGCTATCTGACACAGAATGTTGAAAGCAATGTTAGTATTGGTCTTTCATTCTATTCTATTCTATTCTATTCTATTCTATTCTATTCTATTCTATTCTATTCTATTCTATTCTATTCTAGCCCAGCCCAGCCCAGCCCAGCCCAGCCCAGCCCAGCCCAGCCCAGCCACGTAACCATGGAAATTTCCTTGGACAACACTGGCTCCCTCAGCTAAGAAATGGACATGAGCATTGCGCCTGACATTGCCCCCTAGACAGGAAAAACCTTTACCTTTGAGAAGACACATATTCAACTGCATTTATAATTCAACATGATCTTGAAATGTTAGAGCTTCCTTTCCCCCCCTTTTTTCCTTTCTACTTCATAAACTGCATAAAGGACTGTAAATGATAATAAATGTTACTAGGAAATTGAATGTTTTAGTATCTAAATGTTACCAGGAAATTGAATGTTTTAGTTTGTAAACCTGATAATTTTATTTGAAAACATACTTCAAAAATATTACATATTATATATCTGATTTTGTAATTTGTAGTGTTTGACTGTTCTTCAAAGAATGGATATATGGCTTTCTGGAGGAAGTGATTTGTGTGTTTGGAACCGAAAATTAGACCTCTTGTGTAAAACAAGTCATCTAATTGATGCAGGTAAACAAAATTTAAATAGATTATTAAACAGTAGAATGAATCTATATAATGTTATAACATTAATTTGGAAAAATCTCATTGATTCTAAAGATAAAATATATTAAAGCTTAATGAAGGTTAAAATGGTTACTAGTAACATTTTATACAGGATATTTACATGTTGATATGTAATATTTTATATAAATTATGTTAAGTATACAAACTGCATTTTAGAAGACAAAACTAATATTAAATAATATATTATGTGCTTAAAAGTACAAAAATCATACATATTACTAAAGCAAATATTAAATTTTAATATTTTATTTAAAATAAGATATTAACAAAGGAAGGAGAGAGAAATGAAAAAATTGAATAAAAATATAAGTACAAAACTAAACAACCAAGCAAAGGAAATTTATATATATATTGTGTGTGTGTGTGTGTGTGTGTGTGTGTGTGTGTGTGTATCATACTGGTCTTGCTTCTCCTTCAATATAAATTAATTTGAAAAGTGGGAATTGACAAATTATATATCCAAAGTTTTTCATAAATTGAGAAAGTTATTTATTTGTTCGTTTATATTTCTTGTTTCTAGAGTGCCCATCTCCTCAAATTTCAAAATTTGGAGATATAATTTAACAAGCAATTGACATATTTGATCCTTAATTTTCGACAAGCATCTGGTTTACTAGTGTATATGGAACTACAAATACACATACTCATATCAAATTTATTGATTTCAAATATATTAACTTTTGTTTCTAAAATACAGGTAAAAAAGGAATACAGCATGTTAATACCTGCTAGAATGTATTTTCTTAATGGACACATTTAGGACTTTTAAATATAAGAGCAACAAAATCTTACTTGCATTTCCCATTGTTTCCCATCATTTGTTGTTTCTTTTCATAACCCAGTCCATTTTGCTTATCATCCTTGATTGAGACATTTTCTTCTTTGATTATTCTTTGAATGGCTTATTGTTTGTTTCTTTATTGCTCCTGTTTATCTGACACTGATTCCTATTTACCTGGTTGTTTATTAGATATGTGATGGGATCTGACGTATCAGATAGAGCTATTGGCCTCTTTCCTTGACTTTGCTTGTTTGTAATTGGAGATTTTCTCAGTGCATTGCTAATGACTTGTTGGCATGCCAAGCATCTAGGAATTAGTTTGCATTCTTGGATCTGGCTCGGTCTAAAATTGCTGCTATGTAGAAGAAACAGGTAGGAGATTGGCTGAACATATCCATAAATGTGAATTAACAGAAGACATGATGAAAACTCTTTTTAGTTTCACAATATACTGACAATTTCAAACACAGTTTGATTTGGAAACTGGAGATTTTGACCGTGCCAAATGTAAACATGCAGAAGATTCCTAGAGACTAGCACTGGGTGAAGCCTGACATATATGTCTGGACTGAGACATGTATGTTTTGGTCTGGACATGGACTAGAATACAAATGTTCCAAGAATAAGTGTTTTTATATGGGAGAACAAGAAAAATCCAAGGTTATTGGTAGTATGCAGTAGCGAAGATAAGCAGGAAAAATAAAATGCTGGGAATATTGGGAGATGGATGGACCCAATGGGATATCCACTGCCAATGCCCATAACTTCAAGTCCAGCATGTCCAAACTGCCTTCCCATTTCCCCAGTTTTCCAAGTGCTTGCCTTTCTGTACCTCCCTTTATTCTAGTGTCCTTGGTTTCAAGTGCAACATAAGAAAAGATAGGGAATGAAAGGCATTTGGCTAATTAGTACATGGACCAGCCCACAGACCACTCAAGGAAAGATAGAAGAGATGGAGAAAACACACCAGTCTTGCCTTACTATGCTTATGTGATTACTCTGGATTTTCTTTCAACTGAAGCACAAACCCACCAATTTGGGGGGTGTTTGGTTTTGCTGAATTACACTATGTCAGCGGTTCTCAACCTATGGGTCGCGACCCCATTTGGGGGTCGATTGACCATTTCACGGGGGTCGCCAAGCAAGGCTGTCCGCCATTTTTCCCCCCTTTTCCAGCGGGTGCCTTACCTCCCTTGAGCTGGGCCAGCTGGTGGTCGGCCTGCTCTGTCTCTGCCGCTTGCCAGCTACGCCTCGGCCGGCGCAGGGGGCGGAACCACGCATGCGCGGCGCTCCCGGGCAGGGAAAGTCCTCGGCTTACGACCGGTTGGGTAGTTCTCGATTTACGACCGGTTTAGTCCTCGACTTACGACCGGTTGGGGGTTGCGGCATTAAAAAGGTTGAGAACCACTTCACTATGTCCAGCACAATTTGGCAGAACTGCTGAACATAGCAATAGCAATAGCAATAGCAGTTAAACTTATATACCACTTCACAGTGCTTTACACCCCTCTCTAAGCGGTTTACAGAGTCAGCATATTTCCCCCAACAAACTGGGTCCTCATTTTACCAACCTTGGAAGGCTGGAAGGCTGAGTTAACCTTGAGCCAGTGAGACTCAAAATGCCGAACTGCTGGCAGCCGGCAGTCAGCAGAAGTAGCCTGCAGTACTGCATTCTAATCACTGTGCCGCCACAGCTTTTAAATATAGTATTTGTTTCAAGTTTGAATGCATTTTCTGCTTCATGCACACCTCTAGCTATATCCAATAAGCCCTTTCAACACTAGCCATTGTCTGAAAATCTGTTGATAAAAAAATCGGAACATCTTTCATGGGGTGTCTTTGTGTTTTATCTCCTACAGAGATAAAAATTGTTTTGTATAACTTTTTTTTCATGGCTTTGTAAGTGTTCCTAAGAAGAGCAAAACATTGGAAATCATATATCAGCTGATTTAAATAGCCCTCTGAGAGTAGCACATACTTTTTTTGAAATAAATAAGCTAGATACTAATTTCCTATTTGTTCTACTTTCCCCCTTCTTAATAAAGATATCACTGCTATGATTGAATTGCCGAAAAATTGTGTGGCAGCAGCTATTGGCAAAGAATTGAGTAAGTATTACTGTAAATCAGAGGAGTACCAGCTCTTGTGGGCTGAGCACCGCATTTGATCTTTGAACGGCTTGAGCTGGAATCCACATTTCACATTTCAAACAGTTGATGGAGCCAGGATAAGAAATGGAGTTTAACTTAATTAAAATTTATTATAATGAAACATAGTTAAATATAGGTAAATTGATAGTTCACGAGAATGGAATAACTTTTCTCTTCTGCCATTCAGATTTACATGTGGTTGTACACTCCTGCTATAAAAAGGCATAGAGAGTAAGGAAGATGACCTTGATGAAGATAGGAAAGCTCCAGTAAGCCGTAAAACATTGTGTATGTCCAGAGTGTCCAGATTCAGAAGCAGCTTGAACAGATTCCTCCTTATAAGAGGAATAGAAAGTACAACATATTCAGACTTGAAGATTTTGCTACTATAGCCAGTCTTAATAAAAGTAATTTTAGCGTTCCTGTGGAGTTGATTTCTTGGTCTGGTCTAACTAGTGGGACTGACATCAATCTTGCAAGCCACTTCCAAATATCTTGATGTTCCCGACTTAGTGTTTTACCTGGTTAGCTTGGCAATGTAGCTTGTATAGCTTCATGAAGTTATGTTCTCTACTCTCTACAGTAGGGAAAAACTTATTCAGCGTTTTATATGTTAAAATTTATCAATGTTAGAATGATGATAGTATTTTCTTGTGCATGTAGTCCTCGAATTACAACAGTTCATTCAGTGACTGTTTGAAGTTACAATGTCACTGAAAAAATGACTTATGACCATTTTTCACATTTATGATCGTTGCAGGATCCCCATAGTCACATAATCAAAATTCAGATGCTTGACAACTGACTCATATTTATGATCGTTGCAGTGTCCCAGGGTCATGTGATCACCTTTGGCAACCTTCTGATAAGCAAAGTCAATGGGGAAGCCAGATCCACTTAACAACCATGTTATTAATTTAACAAGAGCATTGATTCCTTAAGTGTGGCAAAAAAGATCATAAAATTCACTTAACAAACTTCTTGCTTAGCAACAGAAATTTTGAGCTCAATTGTCATGTTGAGGACTACTGTAGCTAACTATAGTTATGAATTGTGTTACAAATGTTTAGATACCTAATTCTTTCACTGAAATCAAGGAAAGGAGCCTAGATGATTTTTGGTTTTTTAACAAATAGTGAGTGCTATTCTCCACAAGAAGTATGGCACGTTGTGGTAATTATAAAGATAAATAATGTTATTAAACGCTATTGAATTAGAAGTTTTAATGTTTTTATTGTTTTAATGGTTTTTACTGTTTTAAAATATTTTTAAGATTTTAATTGTAATAATATGTTTTTGAATTGTGAGCCACCCAGAGTTTTTTGCTGAGATGGGTGGCTATAAAAATCAAATAAATAAATAAATCTGTGCAACATACAAATAGCTTAGATTTAAAATTTCAAAACATTTTCTCTTTATTTTCAATTTTAAACAATTTTAAGCAAATTCTGGAGATACATTTTCAATAGTAATCACTCAATCTGGCCTTTGAAATAACTGCCTGTCTTTTTGGTATTTTTTTATTATAGTTTGCATGCATATAGTTCATTTTTATTATCCCCAAGCATCTTTGAATCAGATCTGCAGCATACTGTACTGGTAGATACTTTTGTAGCATCTCTATCATATATAATAATAGAAAACATTGTAATTTCAAACATTAAAAGGGATTTTTTTTTACCCCTTTTATCATCCCCAAATACTTCCTAACAATCATCCTGAGTAGACACAGAAAACAAAGGGTGGTAATGGAATGGTATATCCTGGAAAAGAGCATTGTGGGCTAAAACTACAACAAACCTGTTGCTGATAGGAAGTAAAGAACAGTATTTCAGATAATATAGTTTCATATGCTTTAATAAAGTTTTTTTAACATGAATTTTATCTTCCAAGTAATTCTAAGATTGAAAGCTTCCAGAGATGGAACCCAATGGGATGTGTCTGAAATAAAACGACTTATTGATCACCAGGATAATATTGTGTCATTGGTCAGTGTCAGTGGTAAGCTTGTTTCCAGGTTTATTATTTGTAATGATTGGTACAACGCTCATTACACATTACATATTTTCATAACTATCTTCTACCTTTGCCAACTGGAGTTTACATACCTCTATAAACCTTTCCCTAATAAAGTTAGAAGTTTTTGTTTTTGTTTTTAAATAGTCCAAATGTCTATACTAGAAATTTGGGGAGGGGGGCAGGAAGGAGTAAGATGGCACATTCTTGTAGGCTGACTTGGGAAAGAAACAGAATCTTTATATTGTATAAAGATGAGTCTTTGTGATACACTAAGAGACAACATAGAATTAGAATAACAGAGTTGGAAGGGACCTTGTAGGTCATCTAGTCCAACCCCCCTCCCAAGCAGGAGACCCTACACCATTTCCGACAGATGGCAGTCCAGTCTCTTGAAAGCTTCCAGTGATGAAGCTCCCACAACTTCTGAAGGCAAGCTTTTTCTTTAGTTAATTGTTCTCACTGTCAGAAAATTTCTCCTTATTCACTATCAGAAAATTTCTTCTTATAGTTCCACTTAGTAGAAAGTTATGATTCCTATTTTAGAGAGATGAAGGTAACAGCAAAGTAAAATTAAGCTTCTAGGAAATATTTTAATGGTTGGTTTCAGCAAGCCATGGTTAGTTTAAAATTCATTAGTTGCCAGTTAGTAGCCTGCAGTAATTGAACATTTTACTACGTTGTCTATGACTTTACTAAATCCCCCTTTTTGGACAGGATTATACCCTTTACAAACATTTCTCTTTATAAAACATAATGTTGCCCATTTTTATTTAAGTGTTTGAATAAAGAATAGATTTCTATTTATCAATATCTTTACTATTTTGGTATCTAGATTTGATTTTTGCGACTGGCTCTCATGCTGGTGAAATGATTGTGTGGGATTCATTGGACTGGACAATGCGAGCATATGAATGCAGTTGGGATGCATCTCTTCATGTGAACCCCCAGCAAGAAATAAAATTATCACAAAGTCAAAGTAAAATGTCAATTCAAGATTTAACTTCTGATGATGAGGTAAAAATAATAGTATAAAAGTTATGTAAATTACATTTTTCCTTGTTAATAAATGATACCTTATTACATAATTGGATTATTTTTCAGTTGTAAATTATACTCAACCCAACTAGAAATACTGTTAATCAGTCCCAAGCAAAGGGTCTGTGGATAAAGTAGTCTTAAGCTTGAAAATTTCCTTTTGCCATTGTAGATGAAAATCATCCATACATGCAGATGGATGACTTCATTTCAAACTGAAATAGAATATACTTTAATGTATGTGATACAATATTAGTAGTAATGAGTTACATAGGGATATAAAAAATATAATTTGTGAGTGAAATCCACATTATTGAAATGAATTCTAATTCAGGAAAAGTTAAATTCTGGGTGCTGTCTGATGTTTCTGTTCAACACTTCCAGGGTTAAAATAAAGTGTTGAACAGAAACGTCAGACAGGACCCAGAATTTAACTTTTTCTGAATGAGAATGAGTCAGAGGATATATGATGCAATTAGGAATACTATGCATGTTGTTTTAAATTCCACGAAGGAAGGAGAAATGTACACGCACTAAATACATAAAAAATGATAACTTCCTTCCCAATTAAGTAATTTTTGTATAATTGAGGAGAGATATTGGCCAATTACTTTTTTAAAAAATGTAAAAGCCTCAAATGCTGTAACACCACATGTTTAAGGCAGTCTGCTTTAATATAGCTAGTCCTTGACTTACGACCACAATTGAGCCCAAAATTTCTGGGGCTAAGCAAATCATTTGTTAAGTGAGTTTTGCCCCATTTTATGACCTTTCTTGCCCCAGTTGTTAAGTGAATCATTGCACTTGTTAAATTAGTAACATGGTTGTTAAGTAAATCTGGCTTCCCCAATGACTTTGCTTGTCAGAAAGCCACAAAAGGTGATTCCGTGACCCTGGGACTCTGCCACTGTCATAAATATGAGTCAGTTGCCAAGTGATCACATGACCATGGGTATGCTGCAATGATCGTAAGTGTGAAAAATGGTCATAAGCCACTTTATTCAGTGCTGTTGTAACTTTGAATAGTCACTAAATGAACTGTTATAAGTTGAGGACTATCTGTATATAGAACACAAAATGCTGGAAATACCAGCATTTTTTTAAAAAGAAATAGTTCTGTTTGGTTTTTAGTAGGGAGGAAGAACATTAGATTCAGAGACTATCAATTCTGTTCTTAAATGAAAGTGACCTTTGCAACTGCTTGCCCAAGTGCAGCCAGTTGGATAGATTAGGAGATCATAGAGGGTGAAAAGACATAGTTGTGTATTCAGGGATGCTGCAATAAAACCTTATTTTCAATGAGGGTTTCTTTTCATAAGGTTGTGTATATGAATGGAGTTTCTCTTACAAACAATTGAATCTATTTTTATCATCCTTTTTCTCATCCTTGCTTGATTCTCCTCCAATGAATTTTTAATTTAACTTTCCCTCATTTTTCCTCTTTCATTTTTTACTCACTTGAACATATTGTGAATATTGTTTAGAGACAAACATTGTTCAATTCTAATTTGTTTCCTACTCATCTATTGTTTCTTTGGTCCTGTAATCATTCATTACTTTTTATTAACTTTTATTTTGTTAATATTTTTCATGTGCAATGTTTTCTTCCTGTCTTTTGCCTTGTAAGCATGTCTTTCTACCACCAGTCCTAGTCTTATTTTGTCTCTGCTGATAAATTTGTGAGTGTTAGTATATTGCACAGTGTCACCACAAAAGTGAGAGCATAGGAAGAAGCACTGTCAATCAAATTATGCTGGGAAAGGGTTTTAGAAATGGCTGCTGTTGTCAGAAGACCTTGGAAATTGAAAACTTCTAAACTGATTTTAATAGTCTAAATCAGGGGTAGTCCACCTTGGCTCTTTTATGACTCGTGGACTTCAAATCCCAGAATTTCTGAGCCAGCTTAGCTGGCTCAGGAATTCTGGGAGTTGAAGTCCACGAGTCATAAAAGAGCCAAGGTTGACTACCCCTGGTCTAAATTATGCCATCTTGAGAAGACCTCCCCCCCCTCTCTGTGTGTGTGTGTGTAGAAAGAAAGAGAGAATTTGGCAGGCTTTGTCCCCCCAAAATAGCATAACTTCCCTGCACATTTATCCCATTCTGATTAAAATACAAGCATTATAGGCACTGTTAGAAATGTATTTATTTCCTTTCGTCAGTAATGGGAGGGTAGATCTTCACTTACCTGAATAAATAGCAGAATTGGGAATTAATCAAGATGAAATATCTTCCCCAAACCCATAAGATAGTATCTGGCTGCAGTGATGGTTGTTCGCTCTTTGAACAGCCCGTTAGATATGACTGATTGTTTAAGAGGTGGGACTGGCAGGATAGAATCTTAAGGTAAATAAGAAGGTATTTGCTAGTACAAGTCTATAGTTTATAGTAGAAAAGGAGGGATTGGGATTAAGGGGATGTGTATGTCATAAAATTTATGAACTCATTTCTTATTTGGGAGTATTTTAAAAAGAAGGAAACAAAATAGGATACATTTTTTCCTGGTCTTTCCACACTCTCCTAGAGTTCAGGTATATATATAATACTTGTGTTTGGGTCTGGCACCCTGAAAACTGATTCCTTTACTGCTAAAGCCATAGAAAATGGCCCTATATTAAAACATACAATTTACCCTTCCAGCCCAGTATAGTTAACTCATATCTGGCATGATCCTGTAGCCTTATGTAGAATTAAATATCTACTGCTTGACCCTGTTAGTATATAAAGGATGTTGGTGGGTGGGAAGTAAACAAGATGCCACTTGTTCACTTGCAGATTCTTTCTACTCTTCTGTGATATCTTGAGCAAAAGGTTTGGCCTCTTTTCCAGGTTAGCAGAACCTCTAATACCAGCAAATCACCTCATGCAAAAGATGGCTCAAATGGGAACTTACATTGCAAATCCTCTTGTATAATTGAAAATCTGAAAAATATTACAATGATTTCCATGAATGCTTCAGTTTCTCACAATGGTTTAGCATTTTTAGAGGTATTTTTTATTTATAGGTGTATTTCTGCCATGAGAATCTGGGGAAAAAAACTCATTAAATTGCAGTAAATCATATATTTAAATATATATTTAAATAATATATTTAATAAAATAGAGTCAGTAATAAGTGTGGGTACTCCATCACTGGAGGTTTTAAAAAAGAGATTAGACAGCCATTTGTCCAGAATAGTACAGGGTCTCCTACTTGTGTACGGGGTTGGGCTAGAAGACCTCCAAGGTCCCTTCCAACTCTGTTATTCTGTTAAATAATTAAGTTGCTGGCAAAGACCTAATAAAATAGCTTTTATTGTTTTGAGTCCTTCGAAATTTGGTGCCCAATAAATTTCAACAACAGTAATTATAATACCTGAAAAAAGTGTTTTTATGTTTCCTATTAGATGTAATTAATAGTTTGATTATTCTATTAATATAAACTGAAAGCTAATATATTTTAATAAATATAGTAGTTATAAATCGGGATGGTACATAGTTCTTTCCTTCTTACATATTTGACTTAATTAGAATAATTGGAAACTTTTTACACAAAATATGTATCTTTTGTTAAGATGTTTTATTGACTCTTTTTTCCAGTGTATTTTTGCTGCTGTTGGTAAAGGGATATATGTATATAACCTTCAGATGAAACGTGTGATTGCCTTCCAGAAGACTGCTCATGATTCCACTGTCCTGCATATTACCAACATTCCCAAAAGGTGCAATTTACATTACGTATTTCATACATTCTTTACTTTTAGAATGATGATCAGGGACATGCTTAATATTTATGCATTTTCTCTCTTAAACTTTCCTTACATCGAATTCTATCATAGTCTGTGTGCAGGCAACCTAATCTTTAGTCCAAACGACCTCTTTTTAAATTTAAGATAATTTTTTAAAAAATATTAACAAAGCAACAAAACTATTGGATCTGTGAGAATCCCTAGTTTTTAGAGCTCCACACAGGAGAAGCAAAACCTGATAGTCTTTCACAGACATGTTTTTTCCCCTCCTCCATTCTGGTTTAAATTGGATTATCCTATTTGTGATGAAACCACTCGTTTTGGCCTTAATGGTATGGGTGTGTTTTTTTAAACTTGAATGGTTATAAGCTGCCTAGACTTGTTGATGAAACAGCACATTATGTAGGTAAATCAATAAAAGTAGTTCTAGAGTTCACTACTTTTTTAAAAAGTAGTGTCAACTGATTTTGTACAGTTGTGCAAATATGCTTCTTCACAACTATTTGACTTATTCTTATAGGAAATTAATATCTTGTTCAGAAGATGGTAGTGTTCGTATGTGGGAATTACATGAAAAACAACATCTTACAGCTGAACCTGTTCCATCAGGTCTGTATACAAAAAAATAGAATTAATTGCATAAAAATGAGTTTGATTAGCTATAATTATCTACTTCAGAGTCCCATTTATAATAGTAAAATGTTCTTCTGCCCTTTCATTATTAGTATTTATGAAAATTTTGGAAGCAAAGCAGATCCTTTTCAATTTGAATCTAGCCAATATTTTGTTTTCATTTTAGAAAAAAAATAAAAAGTATACATTGCTTTTAGCAGAAAAGTACACATGCTCTCTAAATGGAGCAATATTTCTCAGCTTAAGAATTGCATTCAATCCTGGAGTCACTGTGTGGGTAAAGTAGAGCTATTCCTTTTGAATAAGAAACTTATTGCTATATTATAACCTTGTATAAAAATAGGTTACAATGGTGTGGCTTTTTTCATAGATTGTCTTGGAATGGCAAGACAACAATGATGTGGCTTTTTTCATAGGTTACAATGGTGTGGCTTTTTTCATAGATTGTCTTGGAATGGCAAGAATACATTTCATCCCATTAAGTTTAATGAATAGCTATATGAATTAGAGGTGTGGTTGTTTCAGCCAAAGGGTAAATACCAATCTAGGGGGGACATGATAGCACTCTTCCAATATCTAAGGGGCTGCCACAAAGAAGAGGGGGGCAACCTATTCTCCACAGCACCCGAAGGCAGGACAAGACGCAATGGGTGGAAACTAATTCAAGAGAGAACCAACCTAGAACTAAGGAGAAATTTCCTGATAGTTAGAACAATTAATCAGTGGAACGACTTGCCTTCAGAAGTTGTAAATGCTCCAACACTGGAAGTTTTTTAAAAAAAAATATTGGACAACCATTTGTATGAAATGGTATAGGATCTCTGCTTGTGCTGGGTGTTGGATTAGAAGACCTCCAAGGTCCCTTCCAATTCTGTTATTCTATTGTGCTAAAAGTAGTCAAAATCTATGTATTTAAAAGTGCCAATTCAAGTTATTACTGGAACTTTCAAGCAATGACTTCTTCAGTTCCAAAAATGTCCCACATTAGTGAGGCTTATCCTGCGATACCATAAATTTGCCTTACATCCAGTTACATATCTAACTATGCCTTTCAGATAGCCCCTTATTTAGAAATAACAACAACAACAACAACAATAATAATGGCAACTATCAGGTTGTTTTAACAGAAGCTAGGTTAAATACCTTTTCCTCACTGGCTGAAACATAGATTTGAGGAGAATACCTTTTTCAAGAGGACTTTGCATTTGCAGCAGCAAAGTGGTGGAGTTAGTGAAAATTAATCTGGCCTTTACAAAAACACCAAGTCAAGTTTTATATGATAAGTCAAAGTTTATATAACAACCAAGGTTGATATAACTATGATTACCTCAGGCTCTTGTGCTGAAGTTATGAACAACTGTTCAGAAGGCTCTGGCAGTGGCTGTTGAACTAAGGACACAGAGTAAATTAAAGTAGAATGGACAGATTATTTTAGCTACATTTTTATCCATTTATTGTGGCTGCATATTTTATGGCTCAAAATGTATATTGTTTAATGTAAATAGCTGGTATTATTTATAACTGATTTCATTCAATGTTGGGTCTATTGTTCACAATAACTGTTAGCATTTAATTATTTAGCTTATTCCAAACCATGTGATCTGAATTAGATATTTTTGTTCTTGCATATAACATAATTATGATTACATAATATTTTGAAGTGAAATTTAGTTTTCAGTCATTGTGACTGACCGCTCACCCTCTATACATAGGCAATTGCAAGAATGGATGCAAATAAAATAAATGCCAAGGTATTCAACTAAGTTTTTGATTATCAGATGTTGGGTTTGAACAGAACAGAAAATGTTTGGTGGCTAGAAATACAATTTCTTTTTTTAAAAAAACACCTTTTCTTTGTATTCTAGGTTTTTTCAGTATCTGGGGATTTAGTAGGACAAACAAGCAAGCAAATCACACAGCTAAAAAGGCACCAGAGAGTGCTACTATTTTTTCCCTTGACCTTACTGGGGATCTGATTGGACACTCTGCAGCTGTGCAGGTTTGTTGGATCTAGAATAGCAGATAACAGAAGTTGTTTTTTGTATGGTGGCTACTTTTTAAGATAACTGTTACCTTGGCTTTGGTGTCTCATCCTTAGGGATATTTTTTCGTCCTGAGATCATTTTATAGTTGATCCTATTCCTGCATTGGTGTAGGAAAAATGTGGCAAATGTTCAATAACTATGTATGAAATCACATATTTCATTTTGCCATGATCATGTTTAAAAGGTTCCCTAAAAACTGTGATGGTGAAATATGCAGTATGCTTGCACAGTCATTTCTGTCTATGACGATTTATTTATGAAGTAAGTCTTTAAAAATGGATTCTCAAGAATTTCTTTTATTTAGTGGGAATACAGGTAGTTGTCAATTTACGACCACAATTGCCAAGTGCCCAAATTGTGTAGGAGTGGTGTGATAGTCATAACTTCAAGAATAGGTCATAAATCACTTTTTCCAAGGGTGTCGTAACTTTAAACTATTTAAATTAAATTAAATTTAAATTAAATGAATAGTTTGTCCAGAACTATAGTCAAGAGCTACACTCACTACACAAACTGTTGTAAATCAAGGACTACCTGTATATCATTTTTAAAAAATTGCCTATTTATGTCCACAGTTTCATTTTGTGGATTGATACCAATCTATCTTCAGTTATTTGTCTATATTTAGAGTTATACTGAAATTTGCTATATGTTTAATTCATTTGATATTCTGCTTGCCCAGAATTCTCAGATATTAATTATTACCATTCTTTGCATTTTATTTAACTTTTGTTAAATGACGCTTTTATCATGCAGACGTAGTAGTATATTTAAACTAAAAAATACATTCAGATTTAATCAAAATTGAAACAATAATTTCACACAATGCTATTTACATAACATTAATATACCAAAGATAGAATAAGTATATATTATTGTCTTTTTCACATAAAGATGTGGGCATGCTGTTCTAATTTGATTGCATTTTGGTAATTTGGCAGTTATTTCATATGACATTTTGGATTTATTTCATAAAAAATGTGAAGGCCTATTATGATATGGGAATGTTTGTACAGTGTCTTGTACAATGAGGCTACAAACCTCATGCAATGTAATCAAGCCTTTTACTATATCTCAAATAATTTTTTAGATCTTGACCTTTATGTTTTCTTTTGGAATTATCATTTTATTATTTATAGTTTGGTTGGATGTTTTGAAGATGAATCTTGAACATGTTCATTACTATTCATTGCTTCACTACTATTGCAATGAACATTTACAATTTTGTGAAAGTACTTGTTCTGACTAGTTTTATTTATTATGAATGTTTCTGACGTGTGATAGTTGAGTACATTATTGTGATGATTTTTTTAATTGCAGATGTTCCTTTATTTTGGTGAGCATGGCCTAGCAACATGTTCTGCTGATCACCTTATTATTCTATGGAAAGATGGAGAACGAGAGTCAAGACTGCGCAGTTTAATATTATTTCATAAGTTGGAACAAATTGAAGATTTGCATTTAAGGTGTGAGATGAAGTAATGTATAAAATACAAACAGGCTGTTTATATTAAATATTTAAAATAACTGTGGGTATAATTTTATGTTTGTTTTAAAAATGTATTTAAGGGGTGTTTTTCCTTACTGAATTCGTCAGTAAGAATTCGAGGAACCAGCAGTATTAGTTTCACACAGAAACCGAGTTTTGGTACACAGACCATTCTATTTAGCCCACAATACCTTAATCAGGAACATTGCCAAATGTTGGATTTTTCACTAGATAAATACACCAAGGTTCTGATGGTGCCTTGAAGCACTTCCTTACATTTCCCTAAAGACAGTTAAAACAAATATATAGTTTGAGTTCAGTCACTAGTTACTAGGTACTGCCCTTTGCCAGATCCCAGGAAAAGCAAAATTTCATTTAAGGAATGGCAGGTATGAGTATCTAATGTCCCAAAAACCTTTTTGACCAAATTCAGATTGTTGTACAGCCCTATTAGACACTAGATATTAGAATGGCATATTTTCTTGCCAAGAAATAGCATTTGATGATAAATAATAGAAGCAATCAACTGGTATTTCATTTTGAAGACCTTGCTTTGCTCTAATTTAACATACAGCATAACAAATACACTTATTGTGATTTTATGCCAAATGTTGAGATTCTGGCCAGACAAGTCTTTAGTGAATTTCTGATTTGTGAGTTTGAAGGATCCTCTTTGTCAGGAAGTAACAGTTTAAGATCTATGGATTTTCAAGCTATTCTTTCCCTATATGTGGTCAGGGTTAAATTGAATGGTAAGGCAGATTTCTATAGAGAATTTATTAGAGCTTTAGAAATATGTTGTAGATTTGTACAAAATAAATCTTTTAGGCAAAGAATTTCATTGATTTTTCAGCTCAAATATTTTGAGAAAATAATGTGGCCTATATTTGTTTTTCAAAGTCTATATTATTTAGGACAGTTTGTGAGCAAAAACGTTATTGTGCAAATTAGTAGAAGTATGCTGAAACATACAGGTTCAAAGACAGCTTTGATGAGGAATTCTGCATGTCAAAATTCTTTGCTAACAAAGAACTGCAAGTAAACAGAGAAGTGTAGGATTCTTGAAACTCAAGACTTTTGTATATGTGGCATATTTGCATTATTCTAGTCTTCTTTGCTTATTATTTTGTGATTGATAAATTGAATCATGTAAATGCGTGAAAATAAAATTGGGCATGTATGTAAAGATTTGAATTCAATTTTTATTTCACAAGTGAGAGTAGCTCTTGAGCAGAGTTAATACAGAACACTCCCAGTGAAAGCAAAATGTGATCTTCAATTCCCCCCCCCCCCCGGAGAAAAAGGGCCTTTATTTCTTTTAACACGTTTCACTGTTTTGGACAATATTCTCTATCATTTTTTTCTGAAGCAATTGGAAAAGGGAAGGATTCTCCTCCTGGATCAAACCCATTCCAAAGAAAATGGCAACTAAGGCTTTATGAGTAAAAGTTAATTAAAATTTAGTCAGATATAGTCTTTGATAGAAATACATAAGAGCAATGATGAATTCTGCAGGAAATACAAAATTTTTAAACACAATGTAGCACTTTAATACATAGCAACCAAAATTAGGTCCTATTACAGTTTTAACAAAAATATAGCTTTTGTACATTTCTCAGCATGGGAATTATGAGAATATCATACAATTTTACATAACTTAATACAAAACATTGAAAAATGTTGGCACATTCTTTAGGCTACAATCATTGTCATTTTTCAGTTCACTTTTAATTTTCTCTGTACAAAAGAGAAACAGAGTCCTTTTTGATGGACAGTATACTACACTATATTAAATGTCAATTTTTCAAGAGCTTCTTATAAAGCACAATATAAAATATTAGTTAAGTAGAATAATGTTTGAGTAATAGCCAAGTTAAGTGAAGATTGTCTAAGCTCATGAACTTATTTAAAGAATGCTTCTATTTTAATGAAAACTAGAAATCACAGTACTGAAAAAAACCCCTCAATTTGTTAGAAATAGCTCCTATGTGATCTCAATTTAAATCAATGGCAGTTGTTTAAAAGCAGACTTTTCAGTCATTGTCCAGTGCAAGCCCATCATGTTTTCCACTATGTTTAAAATAAATGTAAAAATATTTGTGCTTTGGCATCTAATGTAAAAACTTCATACTTGAATGAGAAAGTTACATTCAGTACATGAATCACATCATTAGGGCTACATTATTTTAGTTTTTTAAGTACATATTTTTAATATTAGAGATTTCTGCATTCAGCATATAAGTGGCTTATGATCTTAACACTAAGGTCTTTAGAGTAATTGCTATGGCTGCAATCCAGGACATCAAGGCACTGGGGTTTCCTACCCCTCATAGAGGGATGAGCATCCATTTCCCTTCTCTAAGAAAGAAGGTTGGAGGCCTTTGTATGGGTGTCAGTTCTGGAGATTTTCTATTAATATGGCTCATATATTACATAATATATAAGCAGGATTTATTTTATTTACGACTCGTGTATAAAGCATCTGTCACTTTCTGCTCATAGGATCTGTCCCAGCAATTCCTCTTCTAAGCATATAGATGAAATCTGGAACTGTACAACATCATAGAGCATGACATACTGTTGCAGATGCAAATAAATGTTTTAAGATGGAGTCCTAGTTGTTCATTTTACTACTTGTCTAGACTTTCATATATGGCTGATATATTACCTATTTCATATATTACCTATTAAAAGGCAAAGAAAAGTATGGGTTTGTTTAATTTGTGAATTTGTATTAACTACAGTTTTCTAAAAGATTAGTTAACAAGCAAAACACATACAAGGATTTCTTGTGTGTAAAAATCACAGTGTGCAGCAAGTCCTCACAGTAACAAAAGGCCAGTGATGGAGCTATCTCTGTGCATACAAACTTGCTCCTGATAATGAAATCTGCTAGGAAGCCTGCATAGGGAGAAGAGCTCCACACATAGGCAGTCTTGAATCACAGTAATCATAAATGTATAAATGAGAACGAAGTCCGACAGATCAGCAATTACATTAAGAAAATATTTCTCATTCGGTGGGTCAACACGTATGCTTTTTTGCTCTACTAATTGAAAGCAAGCAAGCAAATGGATCCTTATAAGACTGACTAGCTATCTGAAGGTAGAACTCTGGCTCCCATGGCTGTGGCAGGAGGAAACCCAGAGATCTGCAGTAGATCTTGAAAGTAGATACAATGGGAAATGAGATATCGCCATGTTTGAGACATTAGGATCTCTTTGGGTGAAGAATTCAAATGGGTTGCTCTCAGGGTCAACAAAATGACCAGTATATAATGTAATACATACTTGCTATGAACAAGGCTTTTGTAAAATAAACTTTAAATTAAATATTGTTTATATTTTTTTTCAAAGAAGCTACTTTTTCTTGCTTGATATTTTATGTATGGTATATAATTGATTTTGGCTCATAAATTAAATATAATTTGACAAATTATAACCATATTATAAAACTACCCTTAAAAGGATCTATTATTCCACAAAAAACAGGATAGCTTTTATAAACCAGTTCTTGTCTCTAAATTATCTCCTTTATTTAAAAAAAGCCCATAGTTTTATAGAATTTTGAACTCTTTAAAATTGAGAAACAATATTTTTCTCCGCATTTCCCAGTTGGTTACTTCATTGTGAAGGAAATTCTACCCTTCTTGGGTCCATACAAGTATATGGTTCACAGTGTACGTGGTAGGCTATGATCTTTCTTTTGTTCTCTTCAGCTTCCAAGATTATTCTCTGAAGGGAGATGAAGGCTCCTACACTTTGATTCATCTAATATTTTCCAGTGTTTGTAGTTATTTGCTAGATGTTGCATCAGACCAGGTAGATATGCAAATGCTGAGAGATACAGAGGGATGGGGTGGGGGAAGCAATGCCATACTTGTTTTAAAAGCATGAATAATTTCTGCAGTCTTTCAGCCTTTGTATGCTTAGGATAAACTGTTAGCATTATACAAAGAATCATTTTATATGCCAAGCAGTAGCACAGCCAGGTAACTTAACCCTTCTCTTCAAAGTTTTTCCTCCCCCAAGTATACCTTACAACAGAACGTGGGATATCACTTCAAGTTTAGAGCTTTAGCTTTTTTGCACATGTTCATTAACAAATTTATTCCATCATGCCTCTGACATAAATTCATTTTTAAAAGTACATGAAAATTTATATTTAAACATTTGTGAAATTTTGAGAATTCTGATTCATATAATTACATTCCAATTCATTTACGGAAGATGCAAATCCACTGAGTTAATTTCGGATTCCTCCAACAATGAACTCTTGCTGTATATCACAGCTTTCCACATTGTCCTTGCCAGTTATCAGCCTTCTCTGGCCATTGAGCATGGCCAATCCTCATTGAACTGGTTTTCACCTCGCACCTATATTATCTGGGAAACCATGCAATTTTTCCTAATGATATTTGATAGTTTCATTTTGCCTTTACAATAACTCAGTGCTTCTGCCAGATTTAAAAACAAACAGCTGTAGAGTTAGAATTGTAGAATTGTTAAATCCCATACAGCTGTCACTTAAATATAATCTCTCTCCAGGCTAGCCTTTTAAAAATAGTGTTAAAATAACTTTAACCAGCATGAAACGCTAAGCTTTTTTTTTTTCAGAAGGCCACACAATCATTGGGAAGAATTCCCCCCTTCCCCCATATTCTCTTGCCAGAACAACTGTGTCTGGCTAGGAAAAATCCTAGTCAGGCTCTAAATAACGGGAAGGTCAAGGATATTCTTTAATGCATAAGACCTGCTGGACTGCTTGGCAAAATAATAAAAAATGCATTGCTCAAAAGGGAAGAGGAAAAATGGAAATTCTTACCATCCCAAGCATCAAACATGTCCATTATAAAGTAATCAATGAAGGATATCTGAGACTTAGGGATGCTGCAGGTATTTCGATCAAATATGGGCATCACAACGGGTAGGCCCTGCTTCTTTTCTTCATCAGTCTGTGGGGGGAATTTTTCAACTTTACAACCAGGATGAAAATTAACAAAAATAGATCAACGGTCCATTTTATACTTAATTATTGGGCTACAACTGATCTAGCAAAGAAAACTTATATAACTCAATGAACAAAACTGAGTTTGTTGGCAACTGAAAATGTAATCCTAAATGAAACTAGATCTATTGTCTTACTTTTTATAAGGGGAAATAATGTGGGATTGTTAAATCATTGTCTGCTTTAACCAGACAAGATAAAGATAAGAAAAACACATGTAAGAGTTCATGTGCATGAAAAATAGCATTTCACTTCTTATTTAGGATTATTTTACTCTGCTTTTCTTACACACAATTCATATCTCAAGATTAAGACTAGAATTTGTTTTCTCAGCATTTAACATGTTAGGAGCTGATGTTATTGCTCTGGCATTAGAGTCTACTCTTATAAGATGATTGAGAAGCAGATTGTCCATTTTAACATGATGTTAATCACCCAAAGTAAAATATGTAAGCAGGGCACCATACAAATAGAATAAATTAAAAGCTATTGGGGAATAATAGTTGTTCAGTAACACAAATAAAATTATTACATTAAGCTTTTCATGTTAATCTGATTACTTCAGAAGCATTAGCTTTTAGAATGATAAACTAAAATGTTTTTTTTAACAATAGTAAATTCATACCTGGGCAAAATATTCTTCAGAAATTCTCCCAGCCCATTCAATACACAATTCTAGTGGACGACATGGATTTGCAACATCTGCACATTTTATCATCATGCGCTTGATCAGAGTTTGGTTATCTGGAAAGTTCTTGAGACTGTTTGTGTATTCACAATCACTACTATCATTCTGGAAAATGGATATTCATAGTGTTGGTTGGCATTACAGCTCATAGTCACTATATAATATTACCATAATAGTCTGTAAATATGCAATATAAGGAAAACTACATAGTCACTTGGTGGTTTTGGCTGGAATTCATTGAGAATTGAGAATTGAACAAGTGAAGAAGTTGCTTTCTTAGACTTATGAGAAGGTACAATACTTTTTAACTGAAATAGTGTACTGCATTTATGATTTTTTATTGCTTTGTGGGGCAGAGTGGTTGTATGTTATTGTACAATCCTCAGGAAACTGATTATTGGGTAGTCTCAGAATTCAGTCTAATGAATTCAAGGTTGTTAGACAAATATTGTAAACCTCAATTTATTGTGGTGACAATGAATCAATG